TTGTAAATCATAATAAAACCATGTTGGTGACATATAATTTTATTAAACACTAATGCAATTATATAATTATATACGTCTTTTGGATGATCTCCATATACCTACGTTATAGAGAATAATTGGTTTACACTACATTAAACTTGTACTGGAATTATTCATAGACTCAAGGATTTGACACACATCAACTAGCCACTGTGACACTTCCTTCTCTTATATCACAGATTCATGAAATTATTACCACCATTTTCCCAAGAGTATACTGATTTTTGTGTGTTTTTAATTGTTTTTTTTATGTTGTAGATAAATTAAATAAGCGTTTTGTAGAGCAAGCTCAGAATACTCCAGGTTTTTATCCGTTAGATTATGTTTTTGATGTTTTGAGTACCGGTTCTATCAACTTTCCCTCTCCAACTAAAAGTTTACTTGCTCATCTTGAGAGGTCTGTATAGCTAAATATTCTTAGTTTAACAAGAATTATTTCCCTTGATTATAATACAACATGTGATGTAACCATGATTGTGACGAGGCATCATGAGATCTGTGTGAGTTACGATAGTTAGTGAATGTCACTAGAGTCTCGATTTATCTTCTTCTTTAACCGTGTTTACGTACAACCTTGGATTTCTTCCAAACATATTTAATGAATTATTTGTAGTATTATAATTGTTGTGAATGCCCTAGAATTATTGACACTGATATTTATACATCACAATCCTTGTTTGTCAACTAGCCCATAAATATAACAAAATATTCTAATTTATTAATGGCTTTAATGTTTACTTTATTTTGTAGTTGGTTGCGTGAAAAACATTCCTGTCCAGGTGCTATTGATTGTTTATTTCGTTCAAGAACAGACTATAGAATACGTTTAACTGTGCATAATCCCGTCTTCATTCCTAGCCACATGGCACATCAGGATAGTGTTACTAATATTAGTCATCTTCCTACTGACGTTCAAATGACGGCTAATGAGGCTCTAACTAAAATGTTGTCTATAGAAAAATGTGATATTGTAGTTATGAATCCTTTATTTGGTTCAGGTCTTCCTTATAAAACTAAGGCAAGTACTCTTCTTTATTTGGGTCTCCATTAGATCAGATGATTATAGGAATATCTACTATAAGATATTACAGGAAAGATGAAACAGCGCAGGACAACAATATGTTTCTGGAGGAGAGGGTTTGAGAAATGTCCAATCATTTAGCTGCTAAAGGACACATTGTCTCACAGTTGGATTGGGCAGATAAAAATTGGTGTATTTTATTTTCAAAAGAAATTAAATATAGTTAAGCCCCTTTCAATTCCATTTTTTGAGACAATACTGGTACTTAGTATTCACATAGCCAGGGTTATAGATACAGTTGTGGAATGCAACCAGCATTCTCTGGCAAACAGCATCATTATTTACATATCAGTAATTTGGAAAATAAACATTTACACAATGAAATAAATCCACCTAACTGCATTATACATAGAAAATTATTCATTTTGCCAAAATATTAGCTTATTATTTTTCTATTCCTTGTTTTTATAAGCCCACATTTTTATGTGAAACTTCCAATCAATAGAAACAGAAAACACAAACCAATTACAAACGGTTTGATGGGATCAATTTTGATTAAGTCAACCTTATTAACCTTTGAATATATCACCGTTACACCGTAATGTCTGTTGGGATTGAATTTTGTGAAAATCAGACCTAAACTATCGGACAAAATGACCTCCCCTCATACGCGAATAGTGTAAAAATATGGTATATCAAGGTTGTGCACCCTCGAGGCCACAATTTTGATCCGATTTTAATGAAACTTTAAAATTATGTTTATATCACAAAGATCTCGGTTTCTGTCGATAATCATTCATATCCGAACATAACTTCTGGGATTATGGCCCCTGATTTTTCGAAAAATTGCATTTTTAGCTTGTGGACTCTAGAAGTCGCAATTTCTATCTGAATTTGATGAAACTTGAAATGTATTTTTATAATCCAAAGATCTTGGGTCCTGTCAATGTTTGCGCATATTGGATCGTAACTTCCTGGATTATGGCCCCTGATTGTACGAAAAATCATGTTTTTAGCTTGTGGACCCTCTAGAGGTCACAATTTTTATATGCCCACATTTTCATGTGGACGTTTATTGTCGTCGCCCCTGTCCGTCTGGACATCCGGACGTCTGGACGTCTGTCCGTCCGTCCACAATTTGTTTGTGGACACTCTACAGGTCACAATTCTTATCCGATTTTGACGAAACTTGAAATATAGGTTTATCTCCAAAAGATCTTGGCTGCTTTCGATATTGGCATGTATCGGATTGAACTTTCATGGATTATGGCCCCTGTTTGTACGAAAAATCACGTTTTTAGCTTGTGGACACTATAGAGGTCACAATTTTTATCCGATTTTGTTGAAACTTGAAATGTAAGTTTATGACCCAAAGATCTTGGTTCCTTTCGATATTTGCGCATATCGGACCATAACTTCCTGAATTATGGCCCCTGATTGTACGAAAAATCGCGTTTTTAGCTTGTATTATTATATCACCATTACACCCTAAGGATGGCTGAGTTCAAATTTCGTGTAAATCGGCCCAAAATCGACAGACAAAATGGCCGCCGTTCGTTATCAAATAGCGTAAAAATATGGAATATCAAGGTTGTTGACCCAATAGAGGTCACAATTTTTATCCGATTTTGTTGAAACTTGAAATTTAAGTCTATAACCCAAAGATCTCAGTTCCTTTCGAATGTACGGACTATTTCTATTTTTCTCGTGTTCTCTTATCTAATGACATTCAATTAGTTTATTGAATTGTCAGGTATCCTCTTACAGTCCTATATAACAACTTTTGGTTTTCGAAGAAATTATTAGTGAGCAGAAATTCACCCGTATATCCGTTTTTACTCGTCACATCAGTCAGTTATATAGAGAGATGACTCGTGTTTTCCTTTGGCGTTCGTCACTTCCGATTCAGGAAACCTGTATTACTCAGCTATCATAGCAATGATCTCTGTGTTAAAATTATATTTGGAATGTGTTTAACCAGCTCTATCACATATGTGATAATGACTGGCACCAATATTGTCCTTTAAACTTTAAATATGTTTATATCCCGAAGATCTAGGTTCTTGTAAATATTCACACATATCAGACCATAACTTCCTGGATTATAGCCCCTGATCATACGAAAAATCGCTTCTTTTTAGAGCATGTTCTCTGTCCATCTCTTGCAAAATGTGGGCATATCTTGCATGGCAACTGCTTGTTTTTCTGGGGTGTGAGGTGGCTATTGAGCCTACTGTGTAACCTGTGTTAAAGAACTTGATCACTGCAGTTCTATATACACAACTTGGTGGCAAAGTCAGCTACAGAGTTGAACAAATTCCAATTATTCTTGGGGGAGGAGGCCTCCACCCCTCCCCAAGGTCTAAACCCTTGTTAGTGCGTCACCCTTGCCACACTCTGCTGTGTTGTGTTTTTCAACCTTGTCCGCTAGTGTCGTAGAAACTGCATAGCTAGCAAGTCTTCACAACTAAATATTAAGGTCAGAGCATTAAAATTGATTAAAATGTTATATACATGTATTTGTTATTTGTTTTAGGCTAATTGTGTTGTGATTAATAGATTCTGGGATCAGGGAATTATTTTAAATAATACAGACAGAAGAAATAGTGCTCCACAGTATGTACCTTTAATCCATACATTTATAAACATTGACTGTAAACATTGCTTCTTCCTCATCAATATTATCATTACCATAAATCTACCTCATTTACATATAATTTACAGAGAATTGGGTTGGCGTGATAAATACCCTGTACATAATCTAGCAGCGAAAGGAGATGTTTTGGGTATTAAAGATCTTATTCAACATGGTCAACATCATTCCAAAAAAGATTCCATATCATGGGCACCAATACACTATGGAGCTTGGTGAGCAGTGCAATTAAATACTTGAACCCCTGTACGTCCATCTGTCCGTTCACATTTTGTTTGTGGACACTCTACAGGTCACAATTTTTATCAGATTTTGATGAAACTTAAAATATGTGTTTAGAACCCAAAGGTCTTGGTTCCTATCGATATTTGCGTATATCAGATTGTAACTTACTGGATTATGGCCCCGATTGTACAGAGAATCATATTTTTATCGTGTGGACTCTCTAGAGGTCACAATTTTTATACGATTTAAAAAAACTGTTTCAAAATATCACTGTTGAACCATAGTGATGGTTGAGTTCAAATTTTGTGAAAATCTGGGTGAAACTGTCAAACAAAATGGCCACATATAGTGTAAAAGTATGTAATACAAAGTTTCTGAATCCTCTAGAGGTCACAATTTTGAACCGATTTTGTTGAAACTTAAAATGTATGTCTATATCCCAAAGACCTTAGTTAGTTTTGATATTGAAGCGGGTTAGATTGTAACATTCTGGATTATGTCCCCTTTTTGTACCTTTTTCTTTGTCAAACTCTTGCCAAATGTCCCCTTTTTGTAGCTTTTTCTTTGTCCATCTCTTGCCAAATGTCCCCTTTTTGTAGCTTTTTCTCTGTCCATCTCTAGCAAAATCTTACATAGCAACTACTGGTTGGTTTAAAATTAAACTATTAATAACAAAATCAGTTACATTTCAACATTCTTTATCTGTGAATCTGACATTATGAATTTAGTCTGATACCCATTCTTTCAATAAATCAATACATCAAATTGAGTGAGGTTAGATATGAAGAAAGAAGAAATAATGTATAATATATTTTAGGTATGGTAAGGCTGATGTTGTTTCTGCTCTATTAGAGTTAGGTTGTTCACCTAACCTATCCGATAGAAATGATAGTACACCTTTACATATGGCTGCCAAGAAGGGTTATCCACAGGTTGCCAAATCACTACTACTCAATCGATCTATCAACGTGGTAAGTTACCTGATACTCAATCAATCTATCAATGTGGTAAGTTACCTGATACTCAATCGATCTATCAATGTGGTAAGTTACCTGATACTCAATCGATCTATCAACGTGGTAAGTTACCTGATACTCAATCAATCTATCAATGTGGTAAGTTACCTGATACTCAATCGATCTATCAATGTGGTAAGTTACCTGATACTCAATCGATCTATCAATGTGGTAAGTTACCTGATACTCAATCGATCTATCAATGTGGTAAGTTACCTGATACTCGGTCGATCTATCAATGTGGTAAATCTGATGTCTGAGAGATTGGTTGGTAGAAGTGGTTTATTTGATGATATATTCCATGGTATTGTTTTGTTTTGTATACCTATATGATGATTTAATGTTTTTATAGAATGCTAGAGATTGTGAGGGTAAAACTGCTCTAGATATATGTCTACAGGCACCAGATAGAAACAGGCGACATGAAGAAGTCATGAATTTTATTCGAGAAGCACAAATACAACCTGTAAGTCATCAATTATTGTTCAGTTGTTAAATATTAATATTTACTCACAATATGCTCACATTTTAAAATTAGAAACCACTTATCTATTAGCTAAGGGTTGTGTTTTTACCCTGTATGTTATATTGTTATAGAGTATGATGATTATACAGATATATTTACCGGTCATAGTATAATCATAGGCGTACGAGCCAGCCAGCTGTCCCCTTAACTGTCAGACTTTTCAGACAGACAGGTAAAGTAAGAACAAAATTTAACATATCTAGTTGGCAAAATAAAGTGTCTGAAATCTAATAAAACACTAATTTTACTTTTCTCTTAATTGAATACCGCAAAGTTTTACTGAATTGCCTATGGATTAAAACATTTTATCTGGAGCCACTCTGCTTTGTGCAGCATTTTTCGGGCATCGATTATTATTTGCGGCTGATAAATTTTCAAATTTTTCTCAGGAAGGTTGAGGCCACAAAGACTGTCAATATGGACTTAGCGATTAATTGGTTGTTGGAATTCAGGTCATTTAAGAATTTTATGTTCAGTGCCATTTCCACAAAGGCTGCTCATGCAAAACAAAACTGATAAGGCAAACCTGCAGACAAAAAAACTAAGGGACTTGTTTCGACGGTGGTTATCTTCTGAATGCAGATAGTTTACCAGTTGATAGTTTATCAAGTTAGAAAGTCAATAATTTTAACAATAAGGGTGATCATCTGGATAGAATTTAGGAAAAATGCTTAAAATATTGTGTAGCACTTTAAAATAAACAAATGGTAAACACATGAATTCATAAAGTAAATAGATCACAAATGTTCAAAGTAAAAAAAGAAAAATTTACACATTTATAAAATAATAGAGATGATTAATGATAAACATTTGAAACAGACAAATTTTAACATAATAAATTGTTGCTGTAAATAGAATATTGAAGTCTATTTCATAGACTTTATTTGACCTTTATATGATTTTCAGGTTGTAAGTCTATCTTCTGAATTTCATAGTTTACACAATTGGTGTATATATTAAAATATTAAAATAGCACAGAATTAAACGAATCTAATTCAGACGTAAATAGCCAACAAATCAAGGTCTTTTTTATGTCAATTGATAGATATTTGGCTGATGTTTCCGTGGTGATAACCAATTTACAAATATTGTTGGTATGATTCTCCATGAATGTTATATTTTAATAGAGTATGACTATACAGATATATTTAATGGATAAATCAGTAAAACTAGTGAAACTACCAGCAGGTCATCATACAACAGTACAACAGTTATGTGAATTAATGTTAGAGGTGAATTAACTTTTTTTTATGTTTTGTCAGTTTAGCATCTTAATTCATATAAATTTGATTATATTTAATGTATTTCTATCTTTTCACATAAGGTAACTATAAAAATATGTTTGAGTTGATGTATAGTATGTATATTTTGAATGCAATCATGAATTATTTTATTACAGGAGTTTGATCTGCCACTAGAAATTTATAAAGATATTTTTACAATATGGACATGTTCTCCTAGTTTACGTAAGTATCCTTGTAATAATTGATCTATAGTCACCTTTCCTTTTATTACTTAGGTAATCATCCTTCCTTTTATTACTCAGGTAATAATTGAATTATAGTCACCTTTCCTTTTATTACTCAGGTAATAATTGAATTATAGCCAAGCTGGTTACGATATCTGATAAAATGACAGTATTACTGTCAAGTGTAAAAAACATAATCTTATTTTAGTTAGATTACTTTTGGTTAAACTGTCAAGTCTCAATTGTATTGGGGGGTCACGGTGGTAAAGTGGGTAAGACGCTGGCTCGCTAGCCTGGAGGTTGGGTGTTCGATCCCTGCATTGGCTGAGAAAGTTCATCCAGATTTTCCGGACTGGTTCCCCCTTGTCAGTGATGCAGGAGGGAGGGCCTGACAAGGATAGCTATCTAGTCATTCGGATGGGACAAAAAAATGAGGAATTCGATATAAGAGTAGGTCGTAGTGGCACTGTCTGGGCAAAATTTCCCTCATAGCACACTGTATGGCATATGTCCGTCTTCATTAGCCCAGTTTGGAGCAGAACAGTAGGACGTTAAACCCCATTCCATTTCCATTTGTCAACTGTATTGCCCTTGGCTTTAGCACAAAGCTATATAAGCTATAAATTCTTAATCTGCATCGGTTCTCGTCCCCTAATATTACAGAATTACAACTGAGACCAGAACATAAACCGACTCAACAACTCAAGATGTGGAATAGAACTGTTCATATGTTAACTAATTCGGCTACAGATGAGGAACCAGTTTTAAAATGGCGCAGAAATGCTAAAATTAGTGTAGAAAGAGAGAAAAAGGTAAGTATGTTGTAGCCAGTAGTAGTGTCTTCTGCTAACAACTAGCATATAATGTTCTGTTAAAATCCCTGACAACAAATATACTATATCATTTAAACATATATTATTCAAGAGCTAAATCTGCCCATGGTAGGTCTTTCTTTAGGCCTTAAATGAGAAGACCATAATTAACTGTCGATGCCATCGAATGCTTGAGATTTTAAGTAGATTAGAATGAATCGGCCATTTAATGATTTAATTTAGAAATGGAGAAGCGAGGCTAAAACTCGTATATACCAGTACCATGGTTACGATAATAAACACATCTTTTTACAACTACAAACATTGATAACTTGTCTCAGAATAAAGTAAATTGAATGAAATTTTCAGTATATTCATTTTACATTATCTATTTTTGGACTATTATAGCAAACACGGTCAGCTCTTTATCTAAATTTTACATTATGTATCTTTAAAGAAATGAAATGAGATTTGACATACTTTTCTGGGCTAATGAAGGCGGGCAATAGCCTTACAGTGTGCTATGAGGGTAATTTTACCAAGGCTTCTTTTACATGCATGCCAATGTGTGCCAGAGGCCTGAATGATTAGACACTATCCTTGCCAGGCCATCTGTCCTGCACCACTGACAAGAAGGAACCACTCCGGAAAGTCCTGACCAACTTTCTCAGCCAACACAGTGAGACTAACTGAGTCATCGTAGATCCGCTGAAATTTCTGCTTAAATTACAGCTGATCGCATTCACCAGTTGATTGCCTCACCTTTCACTTCCATGATTAAACATGGCAGCGACCAAGAAACAGACAATAACTGCAGCAGTGGGAACTGGGAAGTTTTTGATTTTATGCCGAATGCGTTGGTGGGAGAATAAGAGTGGCTGAACGAAAACCGGGATCCGTCTTCGAGACACACAGTCGAGAATTGACCTAGGAAGACGTTGGTGATTATGTGAAGTCGTGGTAGTCACCATTTTGTCGTCAAAAAAGCATGTGACTTTCCCAACATCAGTGATTGGCTATTGAATTCTACAATCGGGCGATGTCTCAACGAATTGGACATACTCAGAGATTATAAACACGGTGAATAAAAATATTTCGACCGCAAATATCAAACACATTTTATTTCCAGCGCATCTTTCATCCAAAAACAAATTACGACTTGAGACACTATACGCGAACTTTTCTGCCGAATGATTGACCTAGTGTGTCTCTCACTTTAAAGGAATAGGATTCTGTGGATCTGACTTTAATCTTTCTTGGTTTAATTTCAGTTGACCCATCCTGAAGCCATTAAGATGTTATTTCATGAAGCCTATGATAACTATATTAATGCTTTTTATCCATGTACCGACCATGATGTTCTTACATTTGCCTCAATTTTGTTCTGTTTGTGGTATGGAGAACAAGAATCTTCTGCAGTTAAATCTATTCTATCAAAGTAAGTCATGTCGAAATCTATTCTATCAAAGTAAATCATGGCACAATCTATTTTATCAAAGTAAGTCATGTCTCAGTTTATTCTGTTAAAAGTAAGTCATGTCTCAGTTTATTCTGTTAAAAGTAAGTCATGTCTCTGTCTATTCTGTCAAAGTAAATGGAGCTATGTTATCAAAGTAGGTTGGCCTGTGTCAACTTATTCTATCAAGGCCTGTGTCAATCTATTCTATCAAGGCCTGTCTCAGCCTGTTCCATCAACCAAAACTACTATCTGTGTCATTTTATCAAAGTAAGTTATTGTAATTATAATCCATTAATTGGGTCATGAGTCATGACAATCTATATTTTATCAAAGAACTGTAAGTTATCTTTAATGTCTCTGATTGATTTAGTTAATACGTTTTTTGTTTGATACAGTATATTGTAATGAGAAAGTGTTTATTGTATTATTAGTGATAAGAATATGAAACAGTTAGTCCCAGCTGTTGTACTGAAAGCTAAAGGAGCCTCTATAACCAATAAAATACTGAGAGAATATAATAATCGGGACCAGATTTTGGGTAAAGAACGAAATCATATGGTAAGTAGAAAGTTAACACATTCAGATAAATGTCTGAACTGTGGATGTGTTCCATTGTAGTAAGCTTGATTTGTCACTAGAAGAATGGTATCGTTTAGAACGGGGGGTTTTAGCACTGGAAAATATGCATATAGTTTGCTTTCAAAACATCATTCGATAATTGATAAAAATCGTTTAAGAATTACAAAAATGGTTTAGTTAGTACTATGGCTGAGTTTAATGTTAACGGGTTTAGTTTCTCCGAGAGGGGTTTAGTTTCTCCGAGAGGGGTTTAGTTTCTCCGTGAAGCGTTTATAAATGGACGACCCGTTCAATTATTTATGGCGTTTTTTTATTTATCTACTCATTCAATAGTTATATAACAAGTTCTACATAATCCTATCATCTTTAATACTTTAACAGACACACTAGAAGAATGGTATCGTTTAGAACAGGGTTTTCAGCTCTGGAAAGTATGCATATAGTTTACTTTCAAAACATCGTTCGATAATTGATAAAAATCGTTTAAGAATTACAAAAATGGTTTAGTTAGTACTATGGCTTAGTTTAATGGTAACAGGTTTAGTTTCTCCGAGAGGTGTTTATAAATGGACAACCCATTCACTTATTTATGGCGTTTATTTATTAAACGAGTCGTTCACTTTCCCAAGATACGTTGAAAAATCAACACACTGTTTACTTATCTACGGCCTTTCGTTTACTTTCCTGAGATACGTTGAAAAATCAACACACGATTAATTTATCTACGGCGTTGAACTATTAGATGAACCTTTTAATTTCCCGCGGGCCGTTTATCTGATCGGTTCATTTTGATTACGATTAATGGCAGTGCGATAATCTCGCGATACTGTACATTAGACTGGCGCTCAATAAAAGTCACTGTCACTCTCTATAGACAAGCTGTCGCCCATTTTCAGACAGCGTAATTACTTGATATGGGGCCCCTGTGCAATTTAGTTGATTATTGGGTAATACAGTGCTTGGACTAAGTGGAAATTAGCCATTTTTCCTCAAATCTAGGAATGCGACCCCCACAGACAATACAGTTCTGTTGAAGAGAATCTTGTCATCAACTTGTCAAAGACAATATGTTGTGGTGTTTAGAGCATGCTAAGTATCATATTACACTGCTCTATATTTAGATGGGTTTGGATCAGTTTCTATATGAGACTTAATTCACATTCCAATTAAATGTAGAAAAAAAACAAAAGTAAAATAAAAATTTAATAAATAAAAATAACATTTGATTCAAATATTACATAAAGTTATACTGAGCTTTTTATATTTTAAATTTGATGTAATAGAAGAAACTTTATTGCATATAAAAAAATTACAAGGTTATGTGCATATACAAATAAAAATAATAGAAAGATACATGCAGTAAGCAAAGATACATATTATACCTGTACATAATTATACAAATACACAAGACATGAACAAATTGTATACAAAAGCTCCCAAACATTCTAAAATGTCTACATTTTTATTGATCATCAGTATTGTTGAGAGCCACGGTTGCTAAGTGGGTAAGACACTGGCTCGCTAGCCCTGAGGTCGTATGTTCGATCCCTACATTGGTCGAGAAAGTTTGTTGGGATTTTCCGGCCTGGCTTCCCCTTGTCAGTGGTGCCGGACGGAAGGACTGACAAGGATAGCCGTCCAGTCGTTTGGATGTTACCAAAACCGACTGCCAGGGTATACATTAGCGTGCACGTAAAAGATCCCTTGGCAGTAGGAATTTGATATAACTTGTAAGCCATGGTGCAGCTGCCTGGGCAAAATTTCTCTCATAGCACACTGTATGGCATATGTCCATCTTCATTAGATGGACAGAACAAGCTAACAAAAAGGCGGTTTTTTGTACAATCAGTGGTCATAATCCAGAAAGTTACGGTCTGAAGTATGAACATTAGGAACCCAGATCTTTGGGATATAAATATATAAGTGGATGAAAATTGTGACCTCTAGAGGATCCACAAGCTAAAAACGAGACCCGGTCTGGTACATGCCAATATCCAAAGAAACCAAGATCTTTGGGAGATATGCCCATATTTCAAGTTCTGTCAACATCGGATAACAATTGTGACCTGTTGAGTGTCCACAAACAAATTATGGCCGGACAAATGGACAGTGGCGACAGCAGTATACATCCACAAGAACATGTAGTCATATAAAAATCAGGACCGGATGAAATGAGCCCCCTCAAATTAAAATAACAGCTCTGGTCTGGTATCTGTGTTCTTCCTTGAATAAAAAGAATATGTTATGTATTGGGTTGGTTAAATAAAGGTTATATACAGTCTCCATATGTAACAGTGTTAAGCTGTTATCTATCAACTTCAACTTCATCATTAAGTTAATTCACCATATTTAAAATGACAGTTTAAGAAATGTTACTTTAATTTTCAAATGAAATGCGCAATTTAAATTTTATCTAGTTAAGTATTTTCAAATTCTGTACTAAAATACACACTACTACAGTACTTGACTTTGTTGTTTTGATTTAGCATACCAGCCAATTAAATGTCAGTGAACTGGACACAACACAAACATCCAAAATTTAGCCCCTTTTCTGGAGCTGGTCTATGCACTGAATACTTAAAGAGTCCATGATGTATTTTGGCGAGTGATTAAGCTGTCAATATGTAATTATAAAATACCTTTTTTATAATGAAGATAAATGATGTTAGATAGACATCATAAACTAACAAACAATATGAGTATACTTTATTACAAAAACATCGGTGAACTAATCTAAAATCGTAACGGCAATTATAAAAACAATACAAATATACTTTACTACAAAAACATTGGTGAACTGACCTAAAATCTAAAATCATAACGCCAATTAACAAACAATACGAATATACAGTGTTGAACTAATCTCAGTCGTGATCAGTAATCAACGAGTAAAACTTATTTATTTCATACATTATTGTTTATGTAACAATAAGTAAGTGTTTAACAGTTTATTTAACGATAAGTACAACTCAGTTAATTATAATAACAAGGGGAATGAAACAGCCCGGGATGAAACAGCCCGATAACCAAAATAGGTTGGGATGAAACAGTCCGAGGTGAAATGGTTGTGGGATGAACTGACCCGCACCCAGCAGGTAACTACAGGTAGAAATTTATAAAACAATAGCATTCGACCAATCAAATAATTAATGTTAATAAAAAGGGACATTTATGACTCAACTGTACATTCAAAGGCATGATTTTGTATGGCACCCAGACAGGTGAGAATTAATAAAACAATAGCATTCGACCAATCAAAAAATTGATCCATACTGTACTTACGAACATGTATATTCAAAAACATGGTTTCAAAAGGCACCCAGGCACTTGACCACAGGTGGGAATTAATAAACAATAGCATTAGACCAATCAAATAATTAATCTATACTGTAATAACGTTCATTTATGACTCCATCCTATATTCCAAATAACAATCGGCTGATCAAAAGGTGAATAGCTCATAATACTGTGTATACACAGGCCTTTTCTGTAATTAATGTTTATGGGAATATTGATTAAGAGGAGATTAGTGACTAATTTGATAATTGTCTGCGATATCAACTCAGTGGAAGCGGGCGTTAAATAAAGCTATTTCACACATAATATGATAATCGTAGTTAAAAGACGACTTTCACAACATAAAAGTTGCGTTTATTTTGAATACTAAAATAACTCTGGCTTAGTTTGGCTTGGCTCTGAATTTTGATTGAGCAGAAGATTTTTAAAGACACAGATTTTTATTAACAATTTTAACAGACTGTGGTATAGGATTTAAATGGTTCATTTACATTATCAACACATAAAATTATATATAAATCCGTTGATTGTTTTCGAATTTTGATTTCTTTTTGTGCATGCTGCTATTTCTTTATTAATAAACCAGTGATTGTTTTCCAGTGTTGTGTTTTTAGTATTCATGCTGTTATTTGTGATTGTTTTTAGTATTTAGTGTTTAGTGTACATACAGATAAATACATACAATTGGTTTTTGTTATTAGATTATCATAGCTAAATATATGTTCTGTTTTATTTATACCTTTTCTTTTTTGGGAATTTGGATTTTGAATCAGTACCAAAATTTAACACCTGTACCCAATAATCAACTAAGTTGCACAGGGGCCCCCCAATCAAGTAATTACGCTGTCTGAAAATGGGTGACAACTTGTCTATAGAGATTGACAGTGACTTTTTTTGAGCGCCAGTCTAATGTACATTCTCGCGAGATTATCGCACTGCCATTAATCGTAATCAAAATGAACCGATCAGATAAACGGCTCGCGGGAAATTAAAAGGTTCATCTAATAGTTCAATGCCGTAGATAAATTAATCGTGTGTTGATTTTTCAACGTATCTCGGGAAAGTAAACGAAAGGCCGTAGATAAGTAAACAGTGTGTTGATTTTTCAACGTATCTTGGGAAAGTGAACGACTCGTTTAATAAATAAACGCCATAAATAAGTGAATGGGTTGTCCATTTATAAACGCCTCTCGGAGAAACTAAACCTGTTACCATTAAACTAAGCCATAGTACTAACTAAACCATTTTTGTAATTCTTAAACGATTTTTATCAATTATCAAACGATGTTTTGAAACTAAACTATATGCATACTTTCCATGGCTGAAAACCCTCATCTAAACGATACCATTCTTCTAGTGTGTCTGTTAAAGTATTAAAGATGATAGGATTATGTAGAACTTGTTATATAACTATTGAATGAGTAGAGTTGTAGATTCCACAATCAACAGTTTAGTTGACAATAACAAATTGTTCACATGACAACAAATTCTTGTGGAATCTGCATGAAAGTTGTCTTCTTTTTATATGCCAACATTTTCATGTGGATGTATTATGATGTCGCCTATGTCCATGTGTCAGTTCGTCCGGTCACAGGTCACAATTTTTATCTGATTTTGATGACATATAGGTTTATATTGCAAAGATCTTTTTTCCATGTATCAGACCATAACTTCATGGATTATGGCCCCTGATTGTACGAAAAATTGCTTTTTTAGCTTGTGTATCCTCTTAAGATCACAATTTGATTTGAAATAACATTTAAATCATGAAAAACGAACTTAAACCGCCCGTCAAATTGCCATGATGATGACCGAGGCAAGAAAATGTCAAACCATACTTCCGAAGGAGACTGCTCTAAGCAGATGTGATCGACTGCCATTCATTTTGGACCGCTCACATATTTCTCCAAACAAAACTGATTTGAAATTATTATAAAAGTTTTAAAGCATAAATGTAAATCAATTTACATTAATGTGTGTTTTTTGACTATCTTAGGTTTGAAACAGAGATTTAGCTAAATCTGTGTATTGCACGTCTTTCTTTGGGACTGAAATGTTATCTAAATTATTGATTAGACATTTATTAACATGACAAGACCATAATCAACACTATGTCATCTGATGGGTACGATTTTAAACAGATTTGAATCCGATCTGCAGTTCATCGACTAACAGTAAAAATGGATAATCGAGACTTTGTTTATTATCGTAACAACGGTTACAATGATTGACAATTGAGGCTACAGTGCTTTGTAATGAGGTTTTATCGAATCAGAGTAAAGAAATTTTAAGTATATTCTCTTTACATTATCTATTTGTTAACTTTTATAATGAGAATTGTTAGCTCTTTATAATGCTGCATTAAATAAATAGATATTATTATGTTATTTAATTTCAGACATTACAGCGTAAATTTCTTAGTAAGTGCTATGTATTAACTGTCTATGGTTCAGCTTTCTTTGAAGGAAACCTACTTCAGCACAAGGTTAATAATTTTACATTTATTATGATTAGTCCTCTATCTGTATATTGTACCACATAACACTGTCACACCTCATATATATAAAATATTGTATACAGTAACACAATGGTATAGATAAATACCAGTCAAAATAAGGTTCAAGATATATTTATTTATACAGTAAAACCAGAGAGTAGTGCTTAGTGCTAGTTAGTGCTGATATCAACTATCGATGCATCGCCGATGCATCGATTCGGCTGACGCCGATTCGATTCTCGGTCCTTTTTTGTATTATCGATGCATCGGCAAAAAATACTCTTGTAATCACCTCACCCCTCACGCCTTCGCAACAAATTTGAACAATGGCTAACGAGTGTCAATTGAAGTGAATCGGACGATATTAATGTCATAATAAATAACAGAAGAATATTGTGGAAATAAATTTATTCAAATAAATCGACATTTCTATAATAGGCCTAATGATAATGTTAGGGAAATTTATGTTTCTATCAGGAATACTAATGTTATTTCTATAATTTTTGATTAACAAAATGGCGGCAAATTCCCGATGCATCGATACGAGAATCGATGTTTGAGTCTGATGCATCGATGCGTAAAATTTTACTTGATATCAGCACTAGTAGAAACTAGTGCTAGTAGGAAAATAGTGTTAGTAGGAAACTAGTGCTAGTAGAAAGTAGTGCTAGTAGGAAAATAGTGCTTGTAGAGAAGTAGTGCTTGTAGGAAACTAATGCTAGTTGAAAGTAATGCTTGTATGAAAATAGTGCTAGTAGGGAAGTAGTGCTAGTAGGAAACTAGTGCTTGTAGGAAACTAGTGTTAGTAGAAAGTACAGTGGACTCTGTCACATCCGACATCGTACGGGATCGTTACAATATTTCGGATCACACAGCGTGTCGAAATACCGAGCTTACTCCAAAACCGGAAATACTATAACTTCGAAAACCGGAAGTATTTTTATATTGTAGCTTCGAATCACCAGAATGCTTAACGGCTAATTCCTTCTGCGCAGGTCGTGGAACTTTCTCGAAATCTGCTATAAGTTGCCGCTTTACATCTAATGTCAAATCTGTTCGTGCACGCTTTGCAGGACGTTCAGACATTTTGAATACAATAATTGAATAATGTATAATGATTCTTCAATCGCGGCAATTTTTATATAATGTCGCGGTATTTGACATGAGTAACTAAAATCAAATACCAAGGGCATTGTAAAATAATCAACAAAGAATTTATAACATTATCAAAGTAATCAACACAGACCGGCGCTTGCAAGTTTTAATCTCACCGATAATTGATTGGTGATTGCTTGTTAATCTTTTCTGGCTTCACACCCATTGAGTTTTAATCTCACCGATAATTGGATGCTTCACACCCACCGTTTGAAGTACGGATTATACGGTGTCGATTCAATGGAAATTATGTGATGGGGCGGCCGATTGATGTCGTAATCCAGAACATACAGAATCCGGATTTACCAGCGATATTTTGGCTGAAGTAATAAGGAAATATATCGGGACATGAAAATCATGTCGGATGTCACAGCAATCCGGAGTGATCAGAAATCGGATGTGACAGAGTCCACTGTAGTACTAGTGGGAAACTAGTGCTAGTAGGAAACTAGTGCTAGTAGGAAACTAGTGCTAGTCGGGAAAGTAGTGCTAGTGGGAAACTAGTGCTTTTAGGAAACTAGTGCTGTCAGAAAGTAGTGCTAATGGGAAACTAGCGCTAGTATGAAAACTAGTGCTAGTAGGAAACTAGTGCTTGTGGGAAACTAGAGCTAGTAAGAAACTAGTGCAATCAGAAAGTAGTGCTAGTGGGGAAACTAGTGCTTGTAGAAAAGTAGTGCTAGTGGGAAACTAGTGATAGTGGGAAACTAATGCTAGTAACAAACTAGTGCTTGTAGGAAACTAGTGCGAGTGGGAAACTAGTGCTTGTAGGAAAGTAGTGCTTGTGGAAAACTAGTGCTTGTAGGAAAGTAGTGCTTGTAGGAATCTAGTGCTAGTCAGAAATTACATATAGTGCTAGTAGAAAGTAGTTCTAGTAAGAAACTAGTGCTTGTCAGAAAGTAGTGCTAGTGGGAAACTAGGGCTAGTAACAAACTAGTGCTTCTAGGAAACTAGTGCTAGTAGGAAACTAGTGCTTGTAGGAAACTAGAGCTAGTAAGAAAGTAGTGCTAGTGGGAAACTAGTGCTTGTAGGAAACTAGTGCTAGTCAGAAAGTAGTGCTAATGGGAAACTAGTGCCAGTAACAAACTAGTGCTTGTAGGAAACTAGTGCTTGTAGGAAACTAGTGCTAGTAGGAAACTAGCGCTTGTAGGAAACTAGTGCTTGTGGGAAACTAGTGCTTGTAGGACAGAAGTGCTTGTAGAAAAGTAGTGCTTGTAGGATACTAGTGCTAGTCAAAAACTACATGTAGTGCTAGTAGAAAGTAGTGCTAGTAGGAAAGTAGTGCTTGTCAGAAACTACATGTAGTGCTAGTAGGAAAGTAGTGCTAGTAGGAAAGTAGTGCTAGTCAGAAACTACATGTAGTGCTAGTAGGAAAGTAGTGCTAGTCGGAAACTAGTGCTTGTAGGAAACTAGTGCTAGTAGAAAGTAGTGCTTGTAGGAAACTAGTAATGGTAGAGGAACGTAATGCCTAGTGATTAAATGATAATGTGAAGATCTGTTTTTATTAATAATTTTACACCTGAAGATAAAACCAGTAATGGTAGAGGATTAATGCCTAGTGATTAAATGATAATGTGAAGATCTGTTTTTATTAATAATTTTACACCTGAAGATAAAACCAGTGTTGTCATATAAACTAACAAACTTCTGATTAATATTTCAAAACAAACATTTATTATGTCTAGTGCATTCACTTTAAAAATGATATTGCCCAAATGAAACTGTAACAATGAGTGTTTCATTTGTTCAGAATATTTTTTTAATTTTTTTTTTTAGAATCAGTGTCGCTGTCATATTGGTGTAAATGATGTTGGGCTTCATATTATCAATGCACAAACTAAAGTATGTAACTTTTCATCATCAGCATCTGTTCGCTACATGTATCGCATTTCATCATCAGCATCTGTTCGCTACATGTATCGCATTTCATCATCAGTATCTGTTCGCTACATGTATCGCATTTCATCATCAGCATCTGTTCGCTACATGTATCGCATTTTATCATCAGCATCTGTTCACTACATGTATTGCATTTTATCATCAGCATCTGTTCGCTACATGTATCGCATTTTATCATCGGTCAATCTCCCTTTCACCATCTATTCTCCCCATCACTATCGGCATCTTCAGCTAATTGCCACACTACAGTTGCAGTTGTTTTATGTCTGTGTTTCATTCAATGATTGTACTTGTTGGTAACAAGGGTTTGTTTCAACCCAATTGATCTATCCTTTTCGCGCTGAAACTTTTCAGCCAGCTCTTGTATATATACTCCTGCACAATGGTCAAAAGACATTAAACTCCAAATTGGGTTTTTTCCTTCTATTGTTATCTTAAATTTCAATTACTATATGATCTTACATCCATTTCCTGTCATCATCATGTAGGGTTAGGGTTAGGGTAATAACCATCATAATGAAAAAACACGGCTCTTCAACAAAAACAATTTCTTTTCTTTTCCAGATAATGATTCATTCATATTCATATGCTGAACTCAAGAAGTGGCACGAACGTGAATTTATTTTGGAAATTCAAATCTTAAAATCAGAATCCCGACATAAACGACAGCAACCAACAGAACTTAAAATAAGGACAAAACAAGCTGGACTTATTGTGATTTTAATGAACAAACTTAATCAAATACATTTCATCTCAAATGTGAGATGATGAAAACTTCGATTCAGTCGTGTTTCTTCGTTTATATATAGTTGTGTTTCATCAGACTTAAAGACATTTGTGTATCGTATAATATATATATTGAAAAGTTTGTAAATTAATATATTTATGATTAAGTGGTCTTTATGGTAGATATACACAATTGAAGTGTTTTTCCTGCCATGGACTGTGACCGGTTTAGAGAAATGGATGTATTAAAGGATAATTTATTGTTTTGCTTCCTTGCTCTAAACTTTGATAAAATGTGTGTATTTAAAGCATTAATGGAAGTTAATTAAACTCCAGTTGATTCATACTATATTGAATTGTAAAGATGTGATTGTCTTCTGTCAGGAAACCACATCAACTTCTGACAAACTACTAAATCATATAATCAGCTCATTAAACAAGATCAGATAACTCCAGTCAGAACTATAGAAGGGGGGTTGATATTACTCTCTTAAACAAGATCAGATAACTCCAGTCAGAACTATAGAAGGGGGGTTGATATTACTCTCTTAAACAAGATCAGATAACTCCAGTCAGAACTATAGAAGGGGGGTTGATATTACTCTCTTAAACAAGATCAGATAACTCCAGTCAGAACTATAGAAGGGGGGTTGATATTACTCTCTTAAACAAGATCAGATAACTCCAGTCAGAACTATAGAAGGGGGTTGATATTACTCTATTAAACAAGATCAGATAACTCCAGTCAGAACTATAGAAGGGGGTTGATATTACTCTCTTATCTTGTTGTATGAATTATTTTAATAAGAAGCTATTTAATTCTTTTTTTGGCTTCACAAAACTTTATTTTAAAAACATTTTGATTTCATATTTTGCTTTCATATGTAAATATACCGTGTTTATTAGTCCTGTTGTAGAACAGAAGGACATTGAACCCCCATTTCATCTGTAAATATAGGTTTAAATACTATAATATGTTTATCATTAATTTAATTAGAAATTAATATATATGACCCATCACATGGAAACAGGTAGTAAGTCGTATAGGTCTATATTCTGGTCAACTCTCAGATCTTCACAAGCTTCATTTATATATTCCAAGAATGGATTTGATGAAAATATAATCCTAAAGATGTTTTCGTAAGCATGATTTGTCAACCATACCCACTGGTTTTGAAATACTCTCAAATTGATCTGGACGTATTTGGCGTTATCTTGGCCATCGAACACGATATGGAGCATCCCAAACTTAGGCTGCCTTTCTACAGCTAGCTTTGCCTGAGAACAGGCCCTAAGCTAATTACCCGACATTTCAATTCCTACATCGACGATTTTAGTCGAAAACACTGAGTATGCTTTTAGTAATTTTTAGAAGTATTTATTTCTCTTCTATTGTCATATTGAATGAAATTATATATGTTGATTTAGCCGCTGTGTGTATGAAAGATGTCAAACTAATCAAAGCCGAATCACAAAATAGTCCTCTAATTATTCAATATGGCGGCGCCCATAAAAGGTAATTTCACAGAGGCGGGTTTGTTTGCAAAGACAAATTTAGGAGTATCTAACCTTGTTTTGAAAGATAAACAGATTGAAACTCTAAAGACAGTTTACAATGGCAAAGAATGTATTGCAACCCACTAGTACATATTATGTATCGCTTTAGTTGACATTTTGCTAAAGACATGTGTTTACATAAAACACGTGCGTGCTCGGGTTATTTTTACTCTTTTGTGTAGTCCGGTCGATAAGTCCCGCCTCAAAATGATCATGTGAGCGTTTTAAATGGCGGCTATACGGGGCAGTGATCATAATGACGTATGACGTATGACGTAGATGGATCGCTGCGTGCAGTTTGGATGTGGAGCTGGGAATGGTACCAAGATGAAGCTTGGATGGAACCCAAGGAATGTGATTATGTGCATAACTCAATATGGCCAAATTGTTACTTACTACCCATTTCGATGGTCACATATTATACAGATTTTATATTCAGCAATTTCCCTTACCATACTGGAAAATTCAAACTTCAGTTCTTATCATACTGGAAAATTCAAACTTCAGTTCTTATCATACTGGAAAATTCAAACTTCAGTTCTTATCATACTGGAAAATTCAAACTTCTGTACTTAAAAAGGAATAATAAATGTTATGATAATTCAAATTCTTTTTACATAAATGTACCTCACTTTTCATTAAACAAGTACGTATACTCTGACATTATACAAGTACATATACTCTGACCTTTAACAAGTACGTATGACATTATACAGATAATTTCTTCTTTTATTTTGTTTATTTTTTCAAGCAGTAACTATTTCTTTGTGATGGTAATCCAGAAAAAAATTCATCCACGCTGGATCCTGAGTTTTTGTAAACATTTTGTTTAAAACTTGCTTGAATTGTTGGTCTAGTTAAAGGAGGAACCATATTAGCAATTGTTTATGAGTTATTGTGTTTGTCACTGAAAGCTTGTAAATTCTCTATTTGTCAAAGTTTAGGAGTGATAAGGATAAATTCAGGTTCACGATTTGTTTGTGTTATAGTACCGCTCACCGAAATGTCTGACATATTGTGTATTTGTCAGATTGACTTTGAATTTATACACAACGTTTAAAGTTAGGAGACAAGCAAACCCATTGATTTTCAAAGATTTCTGATGTTATTGCCCTTGATCACTTGAGAAATCTTGTGGACATGCTAGAGTCTAATATTAATATAAATTTATACACAGTGTTTAAGGTCATGAGACAAACAATTGAAACAAATTCTAATGATTTTTGATAATTACTTAATGGGTTGTTATTCGTAATCAGATTTTAGTGTGTTGTGAATGTTTTCATTACTGACAAAAGAAAAAATATGCGACAACCCTTGTTGACTGTCCGGACAACTTAGCTGATGTGGGCGTATGTTTCATTGCCTGGCAACCTATCTTTCGTACTGTAGTGTAAATATAAATAGAAAAGTAACAAAACTATATCCAAGTCGGAATAAAATAAAAATCAAACTAGATGATGTCAAAATTATAAGTTATATTTGTGATGAGAAAGTCAGGTTTAGTTTACTCTTCATTTTAAAAATAGGTTTTCTCAATAAGGATAATTTATGTACAATAGTTAAAAACATTTAACTGACAATCTCATGTCAATTTGTATATAAAGGTATTTGTTGTGTATACAGATCACTGCCTTCTATAATAAATTTTGAAAATACAAAAAGATTTAATATAAGTCTGTTATAAAGAGAAAATAATCCTGTTTTAAATATGTGATAATTTTTTACCTACACACAATTAATTAACATATGTAAATACCTGTTGTTATTTTTTTAAATATAAATTTGCTGAAATTTAACTATGTCATATTAAAAATATAAATGAAAATGTTTGGTGTTTTTTCTGTGTATACCCATATTTAAAAATTCATTATGTAAAGCCTAGCTTATGTCGCCCTACGGCACGATGAAACTGGCGGCGACTAACGGCAACTGACAACTTATGTCGCTACGACTGAATTTATCCACGACTGGATGCAACCACGAGCAACCAGTTGATCATAGTCGTAAGCGCGCTCATTTCGCCAAGCGTCAGTTGAAGAATCGGGGCCACAACTGATCACATGGGAGCGCTAGTTGATTCCTCCCGTGATGGAAGGCCACGAGACACATTGGTACAGAGTGACGAAAGTGAAATTCATGAAGTCTATTATACCAGCCCATTCCAGACTCCAGTGATGGCGTGACGGCCCGTTAAAGCCACCAGCCACATACAAAAAGATCATCATCGCTCCATGGGCCGGTCCAATCCCCCCCCCCCCCATAAAATGTTCAGCAGAAAAAGGTTTTTTTTTTAGACGAATTGGACAAAATTATTTTTTTCATTTTTTGTCCGACTGGCCCTTCGGGCAATCGCCCATCCGCCCCTCAACATGTGCGACTCAGAGAAAGTGGATGGCGACTCATCAGTTCCACTTGATCGTAAACCAGTCGCCGATTTCGAGTCTCCGTCAGTTTTATCGCGTCGTAGGGCGACATAAGCTAGGTTTAAGAGCTAAATCTGCCTTTTACAGGTCGTTCTTTTGGACTTAAATTATATATACTCTTCAAAAAAAGTAGGGGATATTGAAATGCAAATACCAATGCAGGTTGTGATATGATAAATAGTCATGGACACTTGACATGCTTTGAGAGTATGTTCACAGTTGAAGAACTTATCGCCAAAATAGAACCACTGAACTGCACGTGTGACACGCAGTACCGCCATACACGCCATACCGCCATATACCGGTATATTCCTTGAGAAATAGAATTATGTGACCGACAAATCTATTATTTGGATTAATTTGGCCACCCCATAATTTACGTCAACTGACCTTTATATTGTTGCCTGAAGAAAGAAGGAAATTGTTTAACATGGTGTGTTTTTTGATGGAAAGTCATGTATACCATACAATTACCCTCTTTCCAGTCAAATTCATTGTTCATTTAATATTATTGATTTGTCAATCATTCACCAAACCTCATCCACAATCTACAGGTTGTCAGGTTAGAACTGGTCAATCAATGGCATATTTAACCTACATGTATCTATTATAAAATAAGTTGTTTCCCATCAGTTAACCTTTATCGTTAAAACAGACTTTCTCATGTCAGTGCATTACGAAGGGGCTATGATTTTGAAATATTGATAACAAATTATTGGGTCATATTGCTCTTGTCCAAATGTCTATCAGTCGGTCACTTTAGTCACAAAAGTTAACATGTAATGTGAAATTTACAGGCATTACTGAAATTACGGATTTGAATTGTCCAGACATGAGAAAAATAAGATATTAAACGGTCTACTTTTATATTGAATTGAAACTGTCAACATGTACGTCAATGTGTACACACGACCTCAGTTTTTCAACCCATCCAAACACTAGAAAGCTGTCTTTATCAGGCCCTCCGATCTGCACGTCTGACGAGGCAAAACCCTACCGGAAAATCCCAAGTAACTTTCTTGCCAACACTGGGAGGAAACCCGAGACCTCCAGGCTAGTGAGTCAGGATCCTATCACTGAGCCACAGCAACTCCCTATTTATTGGAAGATTGAACCAATATGGCTGTAACATGATAATATCCCTTTAAATTTAAGTACTGCACGTTAGATTAAATGAGTGAAACCCATCGATCCAATTTCTTTTATTATTCATTTTTTTTATATTACAACAAAAATGATGGAAACCACAATTTATTAAATTAGGATTACTGTGCATCTTCTCTGTTATAAAATAACAGAATATTCAAAAAGTTTTTGATACAAAAAAACACTAGTAATCATCTCTATGAAATTTTGGAATTTTGAATATTGTTCACTTTATCTTGATGTCTGATTTGGCATATTCCCTGGCCGCACATGTTAGGACGTTTGGTGGAAAATAGCGTCGGCATGTCTGGAATATACGGACTAAATCCCATCGCTTCATCTGATGTTCCTTTTCTAGTGCAGATCCAGAGACTATGGATAGTGTGGGGGGTGGGCATGTGCAGTGAGGCTACTGATTAAATCTCTAATATTTTGAACCTAGAAATTGACAAAAATGGGTGCAATGCTTATAATAATATAATATGAATGTATATAAACTAATTTACATTCAATCATTTCCGTTTTTACTCTGATTTCAAATCAGTTATGTTCGGCGAAATACGCTAGAAATCTCAATCAAATGTCAATCTGGTTATTCCAGTCTATTACAATAGTATTTATTCTGCATGCTCTTGAGAAAAGAATATGGCGTCACTGTTTGACATGGCTTGTGGAATATGTCTAGGCTCATTCTTTGAATCCCTTGTTACAAATGGGCTGAAATGCATTATGGTAAACGATTCGTTTACCAATGGTAAAATGTTTATTTAGTCTTAAATATTGGATATCAGAAGCCCATCTTTTCCCGGTAAGATCACAACATCAATGTTGATTTAAATTGACAAATAAATCGTGTTTTCAATGTGGAAGACTTTGGATGATATTGAGTTAGAGACTTAGCTACTTTAAAGTGAAGCTGTTACATTACGATCTGTGACCTGTACATAATTGAGTCGGCCCAGTTCACTTCCTGGATCAGATAGGGTGGCATACGCTGGGTGACCCCTTGTTTTCCTGGTCTCACAATGAATCTTACTGTTAATGTAACGGTAATACTATTCTCCCCAGCAGTACCAGTATTAGTCCCTCCACCCCATCAGTACCAGTAACCTATATACAGTGTACTAGTACCACTAGCAATGATAAAGATGATAGTATAGTAAATAATGACAAGTTATATTCTCTTATAACTATGACTGTCATTAGATGATCAATAAACTGTATTGATTCTACACCTGTATGTGTCGTAGTTACCTCAACACTAAAATATATACACTGTTATATCTTCTAAATGTCAACTCTGGTTATAATCTAGATATCCATCCATTGTTACAAGTAGAACATTGTTTTGTTGCTGATATACTGGGTAGGTAAGATACACTTGAAGAGTGCTTTTGTTCATCATTTTTTTCAATTGTTTAAGTTTATTTATTATTTAACAACACTAAATGAGCTAGAAATACTTTAATTGATCAGATGCCAAATGTAAAGGGTACTATGACATCATAGAGTTTATTGTCTAACAACACATTAAGGCTTTTGATTGGATGCAGTAAACCATGGGTGCATGTTCTAAAGAGGGCCTCTTTTCCACAATGTTATCAATGCCATGCCATTTTGGGTGTAAAAACTACCGGTAATAGTTTTCCGCAATGTCATCAATGCCATGCCATTTTGGGGGTAAAAACAACCAGTAATAGTTTTCAGTAAAAATACCGACCACAGTATTAATATTAATGCGTGGAAATAACTATATAGGGAAGTAACTAGAAGAATTTCTGTCCAATAAACTGCTGTTTGTTGTTCTTGAAAGGAACAGCGTCAAATATATATTTGTGAAGAAACCTGGTTAATTCTGTGTTTTAAAACTCTTTGAGACACATGTATCCTGGACCTAGCTAATCATCTCAACCTTAAATAGATAATTCAATTACCCCATAAAGCTAATCATTAATTAATTGTCCCCCGCCTTTCGTCCGTCTGTCTGTCTGTCTGTCTGTCCGTCTGTCCGTCTGTCTGTCTGTCCGTCCGTCTGTCTGTCCGTCACACTTTTTGGGACACAATAACTCTCTTCCTAATTGAGCTAGAATGTTCAAACTTGGTGTATGTGTTTATTAGGTCAATGCCTTGATGGAGTTCGAAGATGAGCATTTTCCGCTTAGGGTAAGCAGAGATAAGCAATTTGATTGGTTGATGCTTTGGGACACGATAACTCTCTTCCTAATTGGGCTAGAATGTTCAAACTTGGTGTATGTGTTGATTAGGTCAATGCCTTGATGGAGTTCGAAGATGAGCATTTTCCGCTTAGGGTAAGCAGAGATAAGCAATTTGATTGGTTGATGCTTTGGGACACGATAACTTTTAATTGAGCTAGAATGTTCAAACTTGGTGTATGTGTTTATTAGGTCAATGCCTTGATGGAGTTCGAAGATGAGCATTTTCCGCTTAGGGTAAGCAGAGATAAGCAATTTGATTGGTTGATACTTTGGGGCACGATAACACTCTTCCTAATTGAGCTAGAATGTTCAAACTTGGTGTATGTGTTGATTAGGTCAATGCCTTGATGGAGTTCGAAGATGAGCATTTTCCGCTTAGGGTAAGCAGAGATAAGCAATTTGATTGGTTGATGCTTTGGGACACGATAACTTTAGTTCTAATTAAGTGAGATTGATGAAACTTGGTGTATAGTTTCATTACAGTAATACCTTGACTAAGTTTGATAATGAGCATTTTCTGCTCAGGGTAAGCAGAGCGATACGCAATTTGATTGGTCGAGACTTTGGAAAACAATAACTCTCCTACTTTGATTGTCCCCCGCTTTCGAAGAAAGCAGGGAACTATTAAAATGGGTTCGTCCGTCTGTCTGTTTGTCTGTCTGTCCGTTCCGCTTATTTGTGATAAATTTATATGTGTCCTCTAATTATTTTCCTATTTCGGCGGGGGACATCAGCCTCACTGTTGGCTTGTTCTAAACAGCTAAATATTTTGAGATGGAATTTTTGACATTGTCAATGGGTTATTTCTTACCATTTTGACATATCATTTAGATAAACCTACTTGTATGGACAGATGCATATACTCCCCAGTATATACTAACCTGTTATAGATCAATATACAACTACAGGTATTTACAGGTATTTACAGGTAAGTTTATCATTGATTAAATTATTACCATCTCATCATTTATAACACAAACAAATACTAGATCCATTTTGTTTGGAC